CCTTAACCAAAACCATGTAACAATGGCAAAAACCCCAAATCCTTCCTATATAAGGGATAGGAGAGATCCGTCCCTCTAAGTAGGAACAAATTATCTTTTTAAATTTTTAATTAAGACAAATAATTAATAATTTAATGATTAATATCATCATATGTCAAGAATTCATTTATCATTTAAACTTAATTTTAATTGAAAACTGATTTATGATGATGGTAGAACTTAAATAATAATTATTTGTCTACCTCCACAATTTAGAAAGAGAATTTTTCTGAGAGGCAGGATTCGGCCTGTAACAATAACCATGCCGTTAATAACATGTGGAAGTATATTGGCATGATTCATCATTCATGTGAAGAATAAAAAAATCAAACTAAAACTATTAAAAATAAATTAAAAGAGCAATAAATATTAATTATGTTATTAATTAATAGAGATAATTGGTAGTTATTTTTAAGAAAAAAAGTATAAATTAGGTCATTTTAATACTTTAAATATTAATATTTTTTGTTAAATTATTCCAATACTTTTAATAAATTTGTTTTGTATATTGATTCATCAAAAATATTTTAATATTTTTATTATCATCATAATATTTTAATTATTAGGATGGTATAATTTTCTTCGATCCCTATTTTTAATAAATCAGTATTTTTTAACAAAAATTTTTATGGTTAAAATATCAATTTGATCTCTCAACTTTTAAATTTGTACAAAATTGTCCCTAAACTTTAATTTTTTTATACTAAAATAGTTCTTGAACTTTAAAAGCAAGTACCAATTTAATCCTCGAAATTCAAAGATAAATACCAACTTAGTCCTTAAATTTTGATTACAAATACCAATTTGATCTTTCAACTTTAATTAAATGTTAATTTGATATGTAAATAAAAAAAATGTCATGATGGCAAAATAGAATTATTTTGTTTTACACATCATTAGTATTTAAAAAAAAATTAATTTTGTAGTAAAAAAACAAATCACGTGGCATTTCTGTTAATGGAAGGACTATTTTTGTATCAAAAATTAAACTTCAAGGATAATTTTGATATTTTTTAAAAATTATACGAAATTTTCAAAATAAATCTAAAAATTAAGAGACTAAATAAATATTTTAACCAATTTTTATTAAGCGACCTTAACCAAAACTCATGTAACAATGGCAAAAACCCCAAATCCTTCCTATATAAGGGATAGGAGAGATCCGTCCCTCTAGTTATAAGGGTAATTTGCCACTGCTAGAAAAGAGGAGGGGTTAATCTACATGTTTTGCCCATATGAAAATTGATTTTGGTCATTTTGGCATGAT